GTTCAAAGCAGGGGGACGATCTCCACTCGGTAGCAGTGTCGACCGAGGCAGACCCCCGACATCGAGTGCAACTGCGGCCATTCGGCCCGAGGAGGTGGGGCGTGTGGAAAACAGAGAGCAGCAGGAGAGGGAGGAGGAGGAGGGAGAGGAGGAGGAGGCGGGGGCGGCTCCGCGACGTCCCCGTCCTGGGCGCCGCCACCACCGCGTCGTGCCCCGCGAGGCCGTGACCGCTGCACCTGAGCGTCCGAGCTGAAAATCTCCAGGGCGATTCGCAACAAACGATGGCGGACGAGAAGAGCGTCTCTTTCGACTCGCGCCACTCGAGCTCGATGAGAGCTGTCCAGCCGACATCTCTTGGCGGCAACACCTGCAAGCTCGTCGGCAACTATGTTGCCAACTGCCAGGAACCTCGGAACATTATTCTGGATGATCTGAGCGGGGGAGAGGTGGGAGTCGACCTTGAGAATGGAGATAAGTGACGTGTCACGCCCCGTACTCTGAATAATCGACCGAACCGTATCCCAATCCCCCATATTATCCCCAGACGGCCTATCATAAAGCCCATTGTACCAACCGTCGCAAACACCAGAAGCATCCGTGACGTAGATCATGGGGCCTCTGGAGTGCTGAATAGCCAACATGAGCCCTTGAAGTTCACCGGGGGGAACCGTTTGTTTCCGTCCAGGGAGAGGGCCTAAAACTCCAGCGCGGACCACAGGGGGGTCGTACGAAGCTAAAGTAACAGCAGCAACTCCAACACGCCGAAAAGCAGGCCCCCGAGCGTCAGGACCTCCAGAGGCATCTCGGAAAATGACGACGGGATCCCCCATGTACCCAACACCCAAGGTGGTGTCGTTCAACTCGGGCGGCTCGTTGCCGCCAACTGTGGCCCACTCGGGGTTGGAGCTGGCTGGAGGTACCGCCGTCCACGCCCGTGGGATGAGCCCACGAAGCCAAAAGCAAGCCTCGCTGTCGCCACAAGTAACAGCGCGAGGTACTAAACTACCTGACTGCTTGAAAGCTCTGTGCTCGCCACTGTTGCAGCGACAAGCCAGATCCGATGCAGTGGCGTTTCGGGTTGTTCCTTACACCTCGGACACTCTGGGCTGATACGATGTCTTGTTTCGTCGACCACTCTCTGCCGAGGCCAGAACCCCCCTGACGCTACGTTGATCATTGTCTCTGCTAGCCGATGCCCGTGTTTGCTGTTCTGAAGACTCCGAATAAAACGACGATAACTAACGTTGTCGACCCCGTTGGCGGAGCCCTCACCACAGTAATGCCGAGCGGCCTTCGCCCACGCAGCATCTTGAAACGCTTGTTGAAATTCATCTAATACTTCAGATACGTCCTCGAAGCCAGTGAGACCGCTGTCGGGGAAAATCCAATGAGCGCCGTCGTCCCCTGGGGTGGCCCACTCTGTAGGTGACGCAGGGGTCCACCCCTACCTCGAGCATGTACCCAATGAGAGCTCCCATGGGCCCACGAACCTGCCGAGAGAACTGAGACGGAACTGTGTTCTGAAGACATCTAACCACATGGGGCCAAGCCTGACGAACCATCGGACGTAGATCGGGAAAGCTAAACCACCTGTCGAGCCAGAGCTGCACAGTGTCCCTGGGAAACTGCGCGTACGGGTCAGCTCCAGGAGACTTCAAATCCAGCAGTGTGGTCAGACAGCGGCCTTTCTGCTTGGAGCCCATGGAGGCGCCCAACCTACGCCGAAAACCGACACGATGAGAACCGAAAGAACCGTGAACCTGATGCCCGTATGAGCTTGCAGCTTGGGCCCCAGCACGTTCCAAGCGCCCAGTAACCTGATACCGACGAGAAGCGCGAGCAAATTTCCTAATCTTGGCCGTCATGGTAGCAGCCTTGACCACACGCTTGCGCCTCGAGGAGCGAGCAGTACGGCCAGCACCAAGGTCCACGCCAAGGCACTGCGCTTGCAGAACATTCGGAACGGTGTAGCCCAGCTTGCTGAGCCTGGCCGCAATCTGCTTCCCGTCGCTAGACTTCGGGCAAACTAAAACACTCTTGGGGGCTGCCTTCAGCCCTGCCCTGCTGAGCTCGTCGCAAGTGTCCCGAAGATAACCGAAAAGTTGTGCACGTACTACTTTCCTGGGCCCCGTCGCTCTCTGATAAAGGCCATCCACCCAGATTCTCATGGACGCCCCAACATGTGCGGTAGTGATTTTAGCCAGGATAGAGTATACCATGCACCTCCCGAACCGAACTCCGCTCCGAATGCCCTGGACGATGCTCCGAGAAGGTTGAAAGGCTGTCGAGAAACACCCGTATTGAGCGAGAGTCCGAGGAGCTACGCAGTTCAGAAGCTCTAAACCAAGAACAGTAGCGGGAAATTGAAGCCGAAGGGAGGTACCCACAAGAGCCTCCCAGGACATCGAATCGTAAAAGGCCTCCACGTCGATTAAACCAGTGCCGAATCCGATCCCCAAGCGCATACAAGCTTCATCTTGTAAAGCGCGAACGAAAGCCTCACGAAGAGCAGAGTTACCTCGGATCGCGGCGTCCCAAGCTGGCTCCGAGGAAGAGGTCCAGAGGCGAACATCTTCTTCACGAGCTGATGACCACACTCTAGTGAGCATAGCCATCAGCCCGATCACCCTGTCACCTCCAGACTTTTTCCCCAGCAGCCTACCTATGACCAACAGGACTTGCCATGGCCACGTAATCCGAGCCTCGCACACTTGCAAAAGATGCACTAGCTGAAGGAGCCCTTCGTGTGGAAGCCGCTGCATATCTGTTGGAGAAAGCTGATCACCCCCCAGACCAGCACGTGTCTTCATACTCTTAAGCGCGGCTTCCACCCGATCGTAAGTGAGAACGGGCAGTTGATCGTCTTCGGCGGCAGCACGGATGCGATCAAATAACTCGCCTAGAGATTCAAGTGAGACGTCGCCTGGGCTCCAAAGCTGGTGCCATTTCTTGGCCTTGTGGTCTAAAACATCCCGAGGGTGAAACAATATCCCCCCAACCTCCACCTCGGAGGAAGGGGGGGGGGCAGCCTTCAGGCTTTCGTGCAGGACCCCGCAGGCCTCGGGGGTCGAAACCCACTCCCTAAAATCGTTGAGTGAGGTTTGAAGGTCCCTCCGCCTGGCACGTCCAGCTACTCGCTTAGCAATTGAACATAGCTTCAGCAAAATCGGAAGGCCGGCATCCTGCACGCGCATCAACTGCGACTGCCACAGAGACCATGCTCCATCGACTGGGTCCAGCGAGGCCAGCGGCAAGTGGACTGAATCTGGTACGTCACTAGCTAACGCACGGCATGCGGCAGCGAGCCGAGAGCGCTGGACTTCCCCATTCCCTTTAGTCATATGATGACAAAGGCCCTGAATTACCGCATGCACCCTTCCCCACCAGCAAGCTACCTGTCCGTGCAGAGGTTCGGAACGAACCTTATCCAGCATGTGCAGCGCTCTGTCGCGAAAAACAGGTCCGTGTGACCGAGAATGCGTTGGCTCACGTTCTCCGTGATGTGAGGAGATTGCGTGCTCGACGGTGCGCACCCATTGAGAGTATAGTGCGCTCACGCTCATGATGTGCTCGCGCCCCACATAGTAAGCTCCAGAGCCCCGAATCACTGGCCAAACTTCATGCGCAGACCCCACAGGAACATAACCCACGTCGCGCTTGGCGGCTTCCCAGGACTCGTCGGGGATGCGGAAAGACGGGAGGGGGGGAGGGAAGAGGGGGGAAGCTGCTGACTGCCTGGGAGACCATTGCCTGCTCCGCTGATCGCGGGTGGATCTGGGGGTTCCACAAGCTCGGGGGGTGGCTCATGGGCTTCTTGATCGAGCTCAAAATCAACATCCAAATCGTGGGACTCGGACATCGAGGACCCCCGCGCACCACCAGAGGAGGGCCCCACCAGGGAGGCGAGCGAGAGAGGGGCCCCAGGGAAACCACTTTCGTCGTCCGAGTCCCCGTAAGCAAGCCGTGGCGCTTGACTCTGCTGAGAGTCATCTTCGTTCAAATCGTGGTATAGCTCATGATAGCACTCGTCCATCGCAAGACGAGCCGCCGTGCGCTTCGTAGCGCCGGCAGCTCGTTTCATGCTGGACTTGGACCCTGCTTGCGGATGCTGCTTCGGCCTCGGGGCCTGGGGCAATTTGGGCGCCAAGCGGAGCTCTCGGCAAAGCAGCTGCTGGCAAGAGCTGCGAATGACCAGCACAAGCCCGCAGTGAGGTCGCCAAGGTACGTCCACACGTGCCTCGAGACGCGAAATGAACGGCACGCTGGATCTACTAGCCAGGCCGTAGTCTATGTGCGTGCCAGAACCTAGTGAGCATGTGTACTGAAGCGGACACTTGTAAATAACGCCGTCAACCTTATCTACGAACCCTACGCGTTGAAGGGTTTCGGGGGGGCAGATTCCAGTCCCCGATCACGACCCAAGGAAGGCGGCACTGCTGCAGCAGCGCCCCAAGCCGAGCAAACCGAGGAAGATTTCGGCCCCTGTGCCCATCGCCATAGTAGGCGTAAAAAGAAACTAAAATGAACGAGGAACCTTTCTGATGGCAAACTACAGCTGAAAACCCATCGAGGCTGGCCGAACCGTCAACTGTAAGGTCCTTCCAGGCCCCGCTGGACTGAGCAAGTGAATGAACAGACAAGTGCTTCCTGGCTAAAATATACTCTCCCCCTTCGTTGGCGCGAGACTGACCCGCTAGGGTCGCGCCGTTTCCCGCGCCGCGGGCGGGGTTCAAAAAGCTTCTAAACTTGGCCTTGAAGGCCTCAGAATTCCACCGAGCAACATCGTCTTTAGACCCAATGTCGGTCTCAACTAGAGCAAAAATGTGATAAATGGCAGCCCTACTGCTGGTGAGAAACCCCCAAGATTTCTTGCTCAGCTGAGTAACATTCGCAAAGAAAATCTGCGTCTCACCGCTCGAAGGCTGCTCAGTTCCCGACGAGGCCGAACTCGATGCAGTCATCCCTGCCGACTGCGTGCTCGAGGGGCCCCGCTGCTTGGATCACGGGCCGCCGAGGCCAGCGCCGTGCACGGCCTGGGCGGCGGCTAGCTTGGCGGCGCTGAGGCGCTGCGCCTCCTCGGCGAGCTCGGCATCTGCCTTGTCCTCGTCCACGGCGATGTCCTCTGCCAAGCGCTCCCCGCCGCCTGTCTGAGTCCTTCCAGGCTCAGCACCAGCGCTGCCGCTACCACTGCTGCCCGTAGCTTCGCCGTCGAGACCCTTCCTCTTCTTGGCCATGCGAGTCATGATGTCCTCCTGCATTTTGGCCATGCGCGCGAGCATGGTCTCGACCTCGGAGGACTTGTTGCCCACCAGGTCGCGCACCCCTTTCAGGTCGGTCTCCAGCTGCTTGAGGTCTGCCCGCTCAGTCTCGCTGACCTCCAACGTGTCCAGCTTGCTGAAGAAATCCTCGTCCCAAGAGATGGAGATGAGCTTCTTGGTGTCGCCCCCGTTGCTGTGGGAGCTCTCCTTGGAGTCCTTCGCAATCACGCCGTTCATCTCCGCGAGGGCCCGAACGGCCTGCAGCTTCGACTTCTCCGCCTTGGCCAGGACGAGCGCAGCCGACGCCTCACGCTCGGTGGCCTTGTCCAGCACCTCACGTGCACGAAGGAGAGCTGAAACTGCTTGATCATGCTTGGTGGCTGCATCTCGCACTGCGGCGGTGGCCCGCCTGAGGGACTCCTCGGGCGCGACGCACTTCTCAGACGGGATGTCATCGCTCTTCAGCTTGCCGGTGTGCGCTTCAAGAACCGCCTTCATCGCAGGATCAGACGTCACACTCAGCGCCTGCACGTAGGCGGACAGAGGATTACTCGGACTTGTTGTAGATCCTGTCGTTGACGACGGAGGTGCCCGTGCTAGCTGGTTGCCACTAGAAGCTTCATCCTTGGATGCTCCCTTGGCTGCCTTCGGACGATGCAACGTGACAACAGCATAACACTTCGGACATCGGCACTGCTGCTTCCATAAAATATGATTCCACTCTTGGCGCCCGCACTGCTGACACGTAGACCATCCTGACTCGGACGGCTCGGTGGTGCCAGGCGTGGGAACCGCTGCCGTACTCGACCTCTTTTTGCCCATGGCTCGAGAAAGAAGGTGGACTGCCCTCCTTAGTCAACCTGTTGGAGCGAAGACAACCTCTGCCCCGCCAGGTGTCCCTCAAGCGCCGACGGGAAGGCGAGGGCTGGCTCAGGGCAAAATGCTCTGAGCCGGGATGGCTTGAGTCCGCTCCCAGAGGAGGAGGAGGAGGAGGAGGAGGAGGAGGAGGAGGAGGAGGAGGAGGAGGAGGAGGAGGAGGAGGAGGAGGAGGCGGGGGGGGAGGAGGAGGAGGAGGAGGAGGAGGAGGGGAGGAGGAGGAGGAGGGTCTTGTGTCCTCTCGCGTGTCCTGTCCACTGCAGTCCGACGGCATCTCTCTGCCTCGGGGCGGCAGACGGCGGAAGGGGCGGCAGGAGGACCGCGGGAGTAACAAAATCGAGGCCGCCTCCGCCTGCGGAAGCGCCGGCGGAAGCAAACGTCGGCCTCCCCAGAGACGATAGTGTTTTTTAGGGGTGCAGGTCTTCCGGATTCGGCCACACAGTATTACACGTTGTTCGTGTCTCATTCTTGGGCAGTCCTTTAATCTTTTCGGGGGCCCAGGATCCTCTCGTTTCCAATTCTTCTGTCCTGGGCCTCTTCCTGGCCTCTTCCTCTCAGGAGAGGAAAAAACACACAGACACAATTAATCGTCGATTCCCAGGAAAATATGGGAAAATATGGGAAGTGGGCGGGAAGACAAAAACCCAGAAAATATGAGAAAATATGGGGAATCTGTTTATTTGTGTGTATTTATTTGTGTGTCCTGGGGCCCCTTCATCCTCGGCGGCAGGCGGCGGCAGGGCGGCATGAGGCCCCCGCGGGAGTAACAAAAACGAGGCGGCCTCCGCCGGCGGAGGCCGGCGGAAGCAAACGTCGGCCTCCCTAGAGACGAGATTTTTTGAAGCAGTGGCGAAGCGTTCTGGCTCGCCGCTGCTCCTCCTCCTCCTTCTCCTCCTCAACCTCCTCCTCCTCCTCCTCCTCCTCCTCCTCCTCCTCCTCCTCCTCCTCCTCCTCCTCCTCCTCCTCCTCCTCCTCCTCCTCCTCCTCCTGGCTCGCCGATAGCCCTGCAAAGCAATGTTCTAAGAACCTTTTTGTGGCTTCCACGAGATGTTCTTAGAGCAGTTCTGGCGGAGTCCGTCGTGTTTTCACGCATCGGGCTTGCGTTCTAAGAACATAGCTTTTGTGCTTAGAACGTTTTTGGGTTCTAAGAACATTTCATGGTAGGAATATAGGAATGCCGGGACGGTCGGCCCCTGCTCAAATAGTATTAGTGCTATGGCCTTCTCGTACCGTATCTCGCCGATGTCATCCCGATGCCTCTTCACCTGGCCTTCGGCGTGTGGCGGCATCCACCTTTTGGCGCTCGCTGTGGTAGCCTGTTGCTCGCTCCCAGCTTCTCCCTCCTCAGAAGAATAGTACTAGTATGTTCCTCTGCGTCCCATTCGGGATAAGGAAGTCAACGTCGCCCTCCCGAGAGATGACATCTTTGGGGGGTTCAGGACTTCCGGAACCTGCCACAATAGTGAGATCGATTGGGAGATCGATACGTCGATTTGTTGAGTGAGACGTTGGTTCCTCCCCTCCCGAACCTCCTTATCACACTGATGGTGGTCGTGTGGGTACTAGTCTGTTCTTCTGTGTCCCATTCGGGGCAGGTCGGACGGGGCTAGGACGAGGATCGATCTGTTCCAGAGCGTTCCGAAACGCTCTGAGAGAGCTCCGGAACGCATTGAGAAGGCCGCGGCGCCTGATGCTCGGGGGCGGCAAAGAGTGGGTGATGATAAGGGGTTGTATATCATGGCGGGCGCCAGGATCTCCCCAGATTTCATGGCGCCTCTTCTTGTTTCCATACGTCCCTGGCCCCTCCCCCCGGGGCGCGCATATGCCGCCGGCCGTGATCTGCGACCCCCCACTCTTGGACGCCCCCCTCTTGGCCACCCCCGAGATACATCCTCCAGAACCGCCGGATCTCAGAGATTTCCCATCTATCCTCACCCGATGTCATCCGCGTCCTGGCTTCGTCTTAGGTTGAGGAGGAGGAGGAGGAGGAGGAGGAGGAGGAGGAGGAGGAAAGAAAAGAGGATGGGGAGAAGGAGAGAGAAGGGAAGGAGGATGAGGAGAAGAGGAGGAGGAGGACCAGTGTAAACCCAAGACTCGTCAACGATTTTGGCAAGCACCTTCTCCTCAAGCTTCCTCTTCATAGGCTGCCTCGTTGGGAGACAGCCGTTTGAAGACCCTGAGGCATACCAAAACACCATTCTTGGGACTCCAACGCCACGGATCAACCTGATTGTTGCGTCTCGACGATCCTGAATCGTGGCAGAACACCATTCCTGCGACTTCGCCACCGCGAGTCAACGTAACTGTTGCACCCTCGCAGTCCTGAGTCCTTCCAAAACACGATTTCTTGGACGTTGACCATGGGAACATCCGCGAAATCTTCATTTGAAAAAACGAATGTGCGAGGCTCTAAGGCGAGAGCCACATTCTGAAAACGACGGGCCCTCAATCCGTGAACACTCTGGCAAATGCTTAAAACGAATGTTTGCGGCGCTAAGGCGAGAGCCACATAAACGGCCCGCCCTCAATCCGTGAAGCTCTCACAGTTGTTTGCAAAATATGCGCGCGGCGCTGAGGCGAGAGCCACACTTTGAAAACGGTACGCCCTCAATCCGTGAAACTCTTGCAAGTGTTGAAAATGAATGTGCGCGGCGCTGAGGCGGGAGCCACATTTTGAAAACCACCTGCCCTCCATTTGTGACATTGTTGTCCGTTTTTGAGTTTCAGGGACGTACGTAGGTGGTGAGGAAGTCCCAGGAGAAACGCCTGGCCCGCCCTTTCGACCGGCCTTGGGGTGTGACAGGGACGAGTTACGTATCAGAGAAAGGAATGGAGGAGGAGGAGGAGGAGGAGGAGGAGGAGGAGGAGGAGGAGGAGGAGGAGGAGGAGGAGGAGGAGGAGGAGGAGGGCTGGGGTTCTGGCCTCGTGTCTTGCGAGGGATGCCATCCCGGGCCGCTCGGTGCCGCCGGGCCGCGACGGGCGGCCCGACGGCCCCCCGGGAGAGGAGGAGGCCCTGGCGCTCACCCGCCCTGCCCCGCGCGTGGCGCGCGGCCGCACGCCGCCGCTCCCCGCCACGCCGGCCTCCTTCGCACAGAGGGCGCCCTCGAAGGGCGCGAAGTTGTTCGCGCGTCGCGCCTCGCGGTTCGGCTCCGGTTCCTCCTCGTCCTCCTCTTCGCCCCCGGGGGGCTGCGCGGGGGCGCGCAGTGCTCCGCGCTTCGCGCCGCGCGCAGCGCGGGGGCGCGGAGTTGGGGGCGCCTGTTTACAGTGGAGGCCCATGCCAAGGAACACCCTGCTTGCCTCCAGGGTGCCCTGGGTTTCTTGGGCTTCGATGTTTTTGCGATGGAAAGCGCGGCGCTCCCACACCGAGAATCCACGGACGTCCTGGGGTCTCAGGGTTGGGTTTCTTGTGGAAGGGCTCTTGTGGTCGAGCTCCCACTGTATGGACCCCTTGTTGAACGCAACCACATCCAGCTTTCGCGCCGAAGACAGCTGGAAACACTTTTCTCCCCCAGGTCCCGACTTTTCGACGAACCCAGACCCCCTCGAGTCATAAATGAATCACGACGGAATGTTTGTCACAGTTTTCGGCTTCCAGGGGCCCTTCCCTGGCCGCGGGGCCGTCCAAAAACGATTCAGGATGAAAAACAGATCCTGGGGAAGGGGTCTAGACCTCGGGGGGTCGACGTTATGAACAAATCATGGCGTCGGGGTTCTGGGAACAATGAAGCCGCTCAGAAAAGGACGGAAACCCTGGGATACACCCCAGGGGGGCTATAGGGGTCGACATTATCCCTCGTCAGTTTCTTTCGGGAGGCGATTTGTGTATGACCACCGCCCCCGCTCGCGTGCCTTGTGCCCGATCAGCTTGTTTGAAGGGGTGGTGTGCGAAAGTCGTGTGCCCAAGGGATGCCGTTTTTGTGCACAGCCCCCTCTCCACGGTCTTGTGGCAGACCAGCTTGTTTGTGGGGGTGGCGTGCACAAGTCGTGTTTCCATCTTCTCTCGGCGGCGTTATCCGAATCTTCCGCCTCCGAGGCGGAGGGCGAAGAACAACCGATCCGCGAATCTTTTCAACAACGGATCTGGGGTAAAGAACTATGTCAGATGTACCTTGGGAGGGGTCAGGTGACAGGTCTCGAACGGTTTTGGCCTCTTCGCCTGGCCCTCGCCGATCAGCGATTCGGGCATTTTCGATGGGCGGCGGAGTTGGGTTCGGAATTCGTCGGACACGTGGCGAAGTCCGAACCGAACACTGCCCCCCGCCTCCCATCCTCCGCAGCCACTTTGGCTCGAGTCCTCTTCGGTTCAAGCCGTTCAGCGCCGACCACTCCTCGCGGCACCGCCCTCGCACATCCCGCCAGGCCCAGCCATGGCCCGCTCCGCGTCCCTGCTGCTCGCCTGTGCCACCGCGGCTGCCGCCGCCCTGCTGGTGGGCTCCCTCGCGCTGTCGTTCGTCGCCGCCTCCCCGGCGGGGCTCCGCGCGGGCCAGCGCGCCCCCTCGGTGGAGATGCACTTCTTCGGCGGGGCGCCGGTGACGACCACCCCTCCGCCGCCCGCGGGATTGAGCCTGGGAGACGTGGGCGGGAACAACTACGTGATCTCGATGACCATCCTCTTCTTCGGGTCGGTGCTCGCGAACGCCAACGGGTTCTTCGCGCCCTGGTGAACACGAGGGGCGGCCCGCAATCGCCAGCAGACGGTGCACACAGCCCGATGCTGTCCGCTTTGACCGCGCCGATTTGTCGGCGGCATTTAGATCGACGCTCAACTAGAGCGGCGCAGGTTTTCTCCATTGGCCACGGCCGTGCTTTTGAAGTGTTGCGCCTTTAAACGGCGTGAGCATCAATCGATTACTCGGTGCGACATTTTTTAAAAAGCAACCCCCGCCTCCCATCCGATTCAGGATCATCGATGGTTGGTGGGGGTAGGGTTCGGATGCCGCCATCCAACACCAGATCAACACACACACACGCACACACGCACACACGCATACACACACAACACACACAACACACAACATCGCCCCCGTGACTCACCCCTCAACCCCCCAACCCCCCGGCCGGATTTCTTTTCTTCTTTCCGCGGGGGGTCAACCTTCGCGGCGACCCGTTAAACCCGGGACCCCTGGCGGCGCATGGATTTCTTTCCTTCTTCCCCGCGCGCGTTGCCGTTGGAACCCCTGAACCCCTCCGACTACCGTGCAACTCGTACTTGAGTACAACTGGTACATATATTGGGTTTCCAATATAGTGGGTTTCCAATATATTGAGTTTCCAATATATTGCGTTTCCAATATACTGGGTTCCCAATATATAAGCCCGAACCCGAACCCAAACCTCACCGGCTGTAATTCAGTTGTTCCCGTACTAATGCAAATCCCTAGTGCAACCGCGATTACGTAAGGTGTTGTTGCATTGCACTTACAGTCTCGGCTCTCACGCTTTTCTTCCTCTGGTTGCGCTTGGGGGGGTGGGACCCCTCGCGCGGGCACCCCCGCGGTTGGGAGTTCATTCCTCTTCCGGAATTTGAGGGGGGGGTATCCCCGTGCTCGAACCCCATCGCCAGGGTTTTTTTCTTTCCTCCGCGGAAACCGGACCCCCTGGGTTCTTCGGCGCGCCCCATTTTTTTTTCTTTCCGGTTGGGCCTCCATGGGTCTTAGGTTGGAGTCACCCGGGTGATCACACAACACACAACATACACAACACACAACACACACATCACACAACACACAGCACACAAACACACAATACACAGTACACAGCACACAGCACAACAAGACACAACACACAACGCACAACACACAACACACACAACACACACAAACACACAATCACACAAACACACACACACACACACACACACCATACACACGCACACGCGTCCACCCACCAACGCCCGCATGCACGCACGCACGCACGCACGCACGCCTCGCACGCACTCACGCACGCACGCCGCGCACGCACGCACGCCTATGCACACGCACACGCACACGCACACGCACACGCACACGCACACGCACACGCACACGCACACACACAGACACAAGCAAACGTCGATTCCCAAGAACAAACGGGAAGTTATGGGAAGTGGAGGGGAAGACGATATCCTTTTGAATTCGGGAATGTCTGTCGTGCCTATATATTGAATCGCTTCGCTCATTCCGCCGGCCCATATTGGATCAGTGTTGCTATATGTTGGGCTCATGGATGGTTCTTGCTGTCTCTCCTGAGAGCACTCGGGAGCTTTTCTGGGGGGGGGGAAGTAGCTGTGACCCTCCTGGGAGCCCCTCGCAGTCTTTCTTGGGATGCCTTGGGAGCCGCTTGGGAAAGTCTGGGGAATCCTCCTCCTCCTCCTCCTCCTCCTCCTCCTCCTCCTCCTCCTCCTCCTCCTCCTCCTCTTTGTGCCTGTTTACGTGTGTGGCAGGGCTGCCCGCTGTCGCCTCGCCTGTGCCCCGCCTCGGCTGCGCCTCCGCGGGGCGGCCCCGGGGCAGCGCCATGCGAGCCGCCGCGGTGCACCACGGGTGCGGTGCCCTGCGCCCTCTCCCCTCGCTCCCGGGGGGACGGGCGCCACGGCTGGTGCGAAGTCGGGCATGCGCCTCTGCAGGAGGAGTGATCAAACAAGCCAAATACAGTCAGGTCGGGCGTGTCCCTCCACGGGGGGATTTTCGACGAACAATAAGAAATACCCCAAACATGTTCCAAAATGGTCAAGCAAGATTCACAACATAGATTCAACAAATAGTCCCCATATTTTTGTTTAAACTATTTTTGAATTTCCCCCCTGTAGAGGGACAAGCCCGACTTACAAATATAGTCTGGGGACGATTTTCTCACTCTGCTCGATTCTTTGTGCACTATCTTCATTTCTCGTCCACAATCCGCCTGTAGGGGCACATGCCCGAGCTAAGGGAAGCCGTGGCTGGTGGCTGGAGTCGGCTGGGGTCTGAGGCGGCCCGGCATTGGTTCCAGCGAGCAGGAAGGGGGGGAGCAGGGTCGAGGTTCTGGGTCGGGAAGATGTTTCCTGCTTTCGTCGGCCTCTGGGGGTATCTGGAGCATGACAGCGGTTGAACAACAACCTGCTCCCGGGAACGGAGCACTAATGGTTCTGGGATCGAAGCCGGAACACAAACCGGATATGGAAGTAACAGCGGCGACGGAACCATGAAGACACCGGCGCGGGAACCAGCTAAGAAATGGCAAAACGGAGCCGGAAGTAAATCTTACTGCCGCTTCCATGGCCCACGAATCTAGGTTTCCTAGATTGGGTCGGGGTAGATGGGGTCGGATGGCCGCGCCGCATCGCCGATGCATCGGCGATGCGGCGCGATTCTCCGACCTCATCTACTCCGACCCCATCTGCGAGGCTTCCGTCTACGGGCATGGAGGCTAGCTGCTGGTGCAGCGCTTACGGCAAAACAAGGAAAGCCCTCGGTGTTGGCCTGTTTTCGCCACCACCATCAGTTGGAGGGGGGAAGGAGGAGGAGGAGGAGGAGGAGGAGGAGGAGGAGGAGGAGGAGGAGGAGGAGGAGGCGGAGGAGGAGGAGGAGGAGGAGGAGGAGGAGGAGGAGGAGGAGGAGGAGGAGGAGAGGGAGGAGGGGGAGGATGAGGAGGAGGACACCCTCCCCCTCCTACCTATGGTGGTGGCGGTGGAAAGCAAGCCCACCACTCCGCCTCTCCAAAGAGCGCGCCGAGGAGCTGGAGGAGCCCCAGGAGACGGCGAGCGGCCTGCTCCTCATGGACTCCGCCAAGAAGAAGCCTGGCCTCCGGGTGGGGAAGGCCAGCCTCCTCCCAGCGTGGGGTGACAGGAGGAGGAGGAGGAGGGGGAGGAGGAGGAGGAGGAGGAGGAGGAGGAGGAGGAGGAGGAGGAGGAGGATCGAGGAAGAAGAGGAGGAGGAGGAGGAGGAGGATCGAGGAGGAGGAGGAGGAGGAGGACGAGTGGGAGGGGGATAGTCGCAGTCCTCGTCGTCGCCTTGTCGCCGTTCCCCTCTTCCCCCTTCTACAGGGTGGCCTGGGAACGTAGTTACCCCGCAGTCTGGGATGGATTCCTCTCAGCCTTCGTGGCTTATTCTTTTTGGCAGCTTAGCTGCCTCGATACGCCCGTCTTGAGATGCAACACGTACCGTGCTCAACACGTCCGTGTCAACGCGTTGCGCTTTGGCTCAGCGTATTGGCCACCGTTTTGGCGATCATATCGCGTCATACCTACGTTTTCGGTACGTTTTCGGTCTACGTGTTGAGCTCCGTATCAGTACGCTAAGTGTTGCGTGCTCCGTACGGGGGGCGGTTGAGCTTGGCGGTCGTGTTCTGGAGCTCGGACCTCCTTCTGCTCGTGGTCGTTCGTCCTTGTCCCTGGGCCTCCCCCTGGGCCTCCCTGGCCTCCTCCTTGAGTGGGCCGCGGAGCCTCCGTCTCTTCCTCCGCCTCCTCCTCCTCCGCCTCCTCCTCCTCCATCTCCTCCTCCTCCTCCTCCTCCTCCTCCTCCTCCTCCTCCTCCTCCTCCTCCTCCTCCTCTCGCCCCTGCTTTTTTCTCGTGGCCGCCCTCCCCCCGCGGGGCCGCCCTGGCCTCTTCCCCTGCTGGGCTGGGCTGGTCACGCCCCGCCCCTGGCCTGCCTGGGCCCGACCCCCCCCCCCCTTTGGGTCGCGGAGCCCGTCGTGCTCGGCTGTCGCTCGCCCCCCTCCCGGGGCCTCCCCGGCCTCCTCCCTCCTGGGCCGCTGGCCGCGGAGCCCGCCCCTGGCGGGCCGCCTCCCTCCTGGGCCGTGGGGCCGCCATCGGGCCGCGGAGCCCTCCGTTCTCGCGGTCGCCCGTCCTCCCCCCCCCCCCCAAGGCATCCATGGCTTCGGCCCCTCTGGGCCAGCCTTTCTGGGCCGCGGGGCCCGCCCTTCAGCCACAGCCGGGCCACGCCCCCGCTCCTGGGCAGCCATGTCCCGACACTGAAGCATCATCCATACCTGTGTCTTTCCAGGGGGGTCTCGGGCAAGATACGTGCACCGCGCTCCGTCCGTGTAGTGGCTGGAAGCTTTGACGGCGAATGCGCAAGGCGCTCAAGGGAGGGCCACATCTTGAACTAGCACCGCACCCCATCCGCGCACTTAATGGGCGCGGCTTGGACTGAGAAGGCGCGGTGTCAGGCTGAGAGCCACATCTCACGAATCCGCCGCCCTCCACCCGTGCCGCTGCAGGAGACGACTGTGCGCGAGGCCATGGCGAGAGCTGCATTCCGAGCATCTGCCGCCCTCCACCCGGGCAGCTGTTGGGATCGTCCAGGGATGCGCGTGCGCGGCGTCCAGGCGATCCCCACTCTTGGAAAAGGTACCGCCCTCCGCCAGTTGTTGTTGTTTTGCTTTCGTTTTGTTGTTTGTTTTTGAGACGAAGGTGCGAGGCGCTCGGGCGAGAGTCACTCTGTTGCCGCCTTTGGGGGGGTTTGACAAAGCTTCTGGAGCACGGGTGGTAAGGAAGCCTTGGCTGACAAGCCCTGGCCACATTGCTGGTGCTGCGGCGGCGAGGAGGAGCCGTCATGAGTCATGAGGAAGGAGGGGTGGAGAACGGAGGACGGAGGTGGAAGATCCCATGAATCCCCACGCACCACTGCTGCAGCAGTGCGGCCCCCGTTCCAAGCTCCCCCCCGAAGAAGCCAGTGCAGGCATGCGCTTCCACTGCGGCGGCCGGCGTGTGCCGGAGAGAGCGAGAGAGGGGCCGGTGTTCTGAAGGGCGCGAAGTTCACGTGAGCGCTGGCCGACATTTCGGCCGATTCCCGCCACGCTGGGGATGCGGCGGTCGGCCTTTCGATCGTCGTGGTCGTGGTCGTGGTCGTGGTCGTCGTCGTCGTCGTCGTCGTCGTCGTCGTCGTGGTGGTGGTGGTGGTGGTGGGGGTCGTCGTCGTCGTCGTCGTCGTCGTCGTCGTCGTCGTCGTCGTCGTCGTCGTCGTCGTCGTCGTCGTCGTCACGGCGTTGCGTTATCCCCTCCCCCTTCCCCCCCGCCCTCAGGGCTGTCCGCTGCTCCGCCCGAGAAAATCAGATGCTATGCCCGAAAGCCCTGGGGGGTGGGCGAGGGTCCTGGTCGTCCCTCGGGTGTGACTCTTGTATACTGAGCGTGGCCCGCGGTGCGGGGGGCGGGGAGGGTATGGTAGACACAGAGAATACCGAGGAGCTATCATCGGGATGTTTGGTCAGCGTGTCGCGCCGCCGCTTCTGCGCCATCCACATCCCAGTCCCCAAGCCGCAAAGTCCCGATCTCTTTCCAACCTCTCGCCACCAGGAGCGGACACGCTAACCTCTCGCAGGGCACAGCGTGTCGCCGTCTGCCGCCGCCGCGACACGCTTGGCAGAAGTTCCCGACCTGACTCACCTCGGTCGCACCCTGCGGAGCAACCGCGGGATGCGAGCGAGGCGAGCCGCTTGGGCCTCGCCCCCAATGGTCGGGATCCCTGCCCCGAAGCTGGATGTTCGTCCCGAGCAGTTGTTTGCCGATGCTGGCGCCTGGTGAGGGCCCCTGGAGGGTGAAACATGCCAACACCTTCCCGTCGTGCATTTTCCCCTAGCAGCGTTTTGTTAGAGTGAAGTCGGGCCTGCCCCTCTACAGGAGGAAAAATCAGAAGTAGTCAAACAATTGTCAGCGGACGACTTTTCGACTATTTGTGAGCATCTTTAGGGCATTTGTTTGCTATTCTTCATTTTTCGCCCAAAACCCCCTTGTAGGGGGACATGCCTGACTTAACGTTAGAGGGGTCTGGCAGAGATGCAAAAGGATTACAGACGAGTCCCACAGGGGGGACGAGAAGGCCGAGAGAGCCTCATCCAGAAGCGGTCTGGCAGCCGTTTCGCCGGAGGCCTCACAATTCACTCGGGAATCGTGCTCTCGCCTCAATGGCTGCTACACTTTGGGTTCAGACGGCAAGGATCCCTCGGTACTCTGAGTACCTCAATAGTTCTGGGGTGCGCAATAGTCCGGGGGCGGCCCCTGTAGTCCGGGGGTTGGGCCCCTGTAGTCCGGGGTGGGTTTTTTGGGGGCCCTTGTAGTCCGGGGGGGGGCCCTTGTAGTCCGGGGGGGGGGCCCTTGAAGTCCGGGAGGGGGTGCTCCCTTCCCCCTCCCGCCCCCTTTCGCTTTTCAAGTTTTGTTCCTCGTTTCTTGTCCCTTGTCAAGTTTTTGTTCCTTGCTTCCGGGTCATTGTAGTCCGGGGGTGGGTTCCTGTAGTCCGGGGGAGGGGCCCTTGTAGTCCGGGGGGGGGTCCTGGTAGTCCGGGGGGGGGTCCCTGTAGTCCGGGGGGGGGGCCCTTGTAGTCCGGGGGAGGGGCCCTTGAAAGCCGGGGGGCCCCTGTAGTCCGGGGGACCAGAACTATTGAGGTACTCAAAGTAAAAACACAATCTGGTGCACAGAGCTGTGCTCTCAGCCTTGTCCTGGCTGCATCTTCCCCAGGACCTAGGAATCCAGCTTGCTCCTGGTCCTCTTCCTCCTCCTTCTCCTCCTCCTCTTCGCCGTCGGCGTTGTTCGCGTCTGTTCCGTACGCTGGGTGAGGAGGAAGTCAACCGCTTTCAAGTGCAACCTCCCCGGCCGCACCGACAGTTGTTTTACCAAGGCTTGAGGAGTGTGGCGGCATTCGCATGTTGCCGCCAGCTGTGGGGCGGACGACTACGGGCGGCGACGATAGCGGAGAGGAGGAGGAGGAGGAGGAGGAGGAGGAGGAGGAGGAGGAGGTGGAGGAGGAGGAGGAGGAGGAGGTGGAGGAGGAGGAGGAGGAGGAGGGGCCGCGCCAGGCGGCCCAGCCGGCCGCGGCGCCGTGCGGAGCGGCGTCGTCAAGCGGCTCGGAGGGAAGGAATGCGAAGGAGGAGGCCCTCGCCGAGCAGCGATTCGGGCATTTTCGATGGGCGGCGGGGTTAGGGTTCGGAAATCGTCGAAGACGTGGCGAAGTCCGAACCCTACCCCCGCCTCCCATCCGATTCAGGAGCATCGATGGCTGGTGAGGGTATGGGTCGAATGTCGTGAGGAAAACACACACAGGCACAAACAAGCGCCGATCCCAAGGAAGCTGCTGGGAAAACATGGGACGTGGAGGGGAAGACGAAACTCCATCACCCTGGGAAGATCTATGGAGACTCCTGGGCAGTGGAGGGACGACGAAACTCCTTGACACATGGAAGAGTACGTGCCGCGCCCCGCGGGACAGCCACGGGGCAGCCCCTGCGAGCCGACGCGGTGCCCCGCGGGGAAGGTGCGGGCCTTGGGCCCCGGGAAGCGCGACGACCTGCGCGAGCGGCCGCTGCTCGAGGCCCTCCCGGCCCCGGCCCCGCCCCGCCGCGGGAGTGCGGAGGAGGAGGCGGCGGAGGAGGAGGGCAAGGAGGAAGAAGAGGAAGACATAGATGAGGGAGAGGAGGAGGGGGAGGGAGGGAGAGGGAGAGGAGGAGGGGGAGGGAGGGAGAGGGAGAGGAGGAGGGGGAGGGAGGGAGGGGGTGGTGGAGGGGCATGGGGGGGAGGGAGGATGGGGGAGAAGGAGGGGGAGGAGGAGGACGGGATGAAACGGAGTGATAAGGATGAGGATGAGCACGACGATGAGGAAGAGGATGAGGATGAGGACGAGGATGAGGATGATCGTGCTGATGATGATTGCGAACATAATGGTGATGATGCTGATGATGTGCTGATGATGATGATGGTGCTGATGATGATTATGGTTATGATGCTGCTGATGATGAAGACGATGATCAGGAGGAGGAGGAGGAGGAGGACTTGGAAAACTGTGTGAGCATGGGGGGAGTAGAAGGGGAAGGAGGAGGAGAAGTAGGCGTATGAGGAAGAGGCTGTGTAGGAGAAGGAGGAGGAGGAGGAGGAGGAGGAGGAGGAGGAGGAGAGAGACGGGATGGAGAGGAAGAGGAGCAGGAGGAGGAGGAGAAAGGATTGATAGGAGGAGGAGGACAAGGGGGAGGAGGAGGGAGAACGGAGGATGAGCAGGAGGAGGAAGAGGAATGACAATGCTGGTGATGTTGAGTATGGGTGCGGGCATGACGAAGACGATGATGCTGATGATGACTACTGGCGATGATGATGATGATGCTGATGATGATGATGATGATGATGATGATGATGATGATGATGACGATGATGATGATGATGATGATGATGATGATGATGATGATGATGATGATGATGATGATTGGGTGATGACCCAGCTGCCTGCAGCAAATTGCTCCACCGCGCCAGCCCATCATGCTCGGCGGATCTCTTTCGAGGGCGCACCGGAAGCCGCACTTGCGAGGGACGGACATCATGATAACGATGATGATGGTAATGCTGAAGCTGAGGTTAATGACGACGATGATGCTGCAGATGCATTTCTGATTTTGATGATGCTGATGACGGTGGTGATGATGGTCACGATGATGAGGATGACGGTGATGCTGCTGACGATGATGATGGGCATTCTGGCAGTGATGCTGATGCAGATGTTGATGCTGATGCATCTGATGCATCTGATGATGATGCCCATGATCATGGTCATGCTGGTGGGCATGCTGCTGATGATGTTGATGATGATCATGATGATGATGCTGATTCTGATGATGGTGATGATGATGAACACGGAATGATGAGCATGAGCACGAGGATGAGTAAGGTGATGATCATGAGGATGACGATGTTGATGATGGTGACAACGATTATGCTGCTGATGCTGATGATACGGATGATGAATGTGATTCTGATGACGATGACGATGATGATGATGAGGAGGATGTTTAATGTTTGATGCTGATGCTGATGCTGATGCTGATGGTGCTGATGATGATGATGATGATGATGATGATGATGATGATGATGATGATGATGGTAATGGAGATGGTGATGGTGATGGTCATGGTGGTGATGGTCATGGTGGTGATGACGGTCACGGAGATGGTGGTTGTGATGATGATGATGCTGACGATGATGCTGCTGCTGTTGCTGATGCTGATGCTGATGATGATTATGATGCTGATGATGATGTTGATGATGCTGACGATGACGATGATGATGATGATGATGATGCTGATGCTGATGCTGTTGCTGTTGATGATGATGATGATGCTGATGCTGATGCTGCTTCTGCTGATGATGATGCTGATGATGATGAGGATTATGATAATGATGCAGCTGCTGCTGCTGATGATGATGATGTTGATGCTGACGATGATGATGATGATGATGATGATGATGATGATGATGATGATGATGATGATGATGATGATGATGATGATGATGATGATGATGATGATGATGATGATGATGATGATGATGATGATGATGATGATGATGATGATGATGATGATGATGATGATGATGATGATGATGATGATGGTGGTGGTGGTGGTGGTGGTGATGATGATGATGATGATGATGATGATGATGATCGTTGGGGTTTCGTGGGAGGCAGTTTCTAGGCCTCTTTGGGGCCGTTTATTGGCCTCTTGGGGGCCTCTCGGGGGCCTCTTGGGGGGCCTCTTGGGCGCCTCTTGGCGCCTCTTGGGGCCTCCTGGGGGCCCCTTGGGGCGGAAGGCTTGGATGTCCAGTTCGTTTTCCCTCTCTGGGGCCCCTTTCGGGGCCGTCTTGGAACCCTCTTGGGCCGTCATGGGCGCCTCTTGGGCCGTCTGGAGGCGCTCTGAGGCCGCCGTGGGGTCCTCTTGGAGGTCTCTTGGGCCGTTTTGGGGTGGGTTTGGGTGCCCCTTGGGCCGTCTTGGAGCGTCGAAAAAACGAAAAGGCGAGAACACCCAAATCTTTCGAACACGTATGGGAAATCAATGATTGTTACCTTTGGGGGCCCTCTTGGGATACCTCTTGGAAGGCTCTTGGGGCGCCTTGGAAGCCTGTTGCGCCATCTTGAGGCCATCTTGGGCGTCTTCGGGCGATCGTTCGGTGACTCGAAGCCTTTTGGACCTTCTTGGAGGCCTCCAGGGCCGTCATGGCAGCCTTGGAGAACCTCAGGGAGGCGTGCGACTCTACGCGGCCCCAGAGGGGGGGGGGTCCCCTTGCAGAAACCCTGCCAAATAGCATTTAGCATTCTGGCACGCCTCAACGTGCCAGGGGGCACGGTGGCGGATCAGAATGGAAGGAGGACGAGGAGGACAACGAGGATGGTCTGGATGGTGTGAAGGAGGGCGCTGGGATGATGAGTATGAGGAGGAGGTGGATGTGGGGGATGATTCGGATGAAGCTCTGACGATATCGAGGAGATGATCTTTGTGAGCATGATGATGCGGATGAGGACTGGGATGATGAAGAGGAGGAACAGAAGGCCACTGGAATGTGAGAGGGTGAGAGATGGAGGGGAACTTGGAAGTGTGAGGGCAATCGGTGGTTCGCATATTCTCTCATTCTCTCTCCCCGCCCCTCGCTCTTCCTGGGTATAGACGTATCGCGCTCTCTTCCTTTATTTCCTTCTCTCTCTCTCTTGTTCGGTGCCTGATTTTCCTGACTACCTGTATGTGTGTTTGTGCTATACAGACATGTGCATCCCCATTCCCTGTAGGAGTAAAACACATGCGCATGCGCACACGGTAGAGGCCAGCGCTTCTAACTTATAGCTTAGACTTATACCGTCGATCATCAACCATATATCTCTATACACACTCACAGAATCAGTGCAATCTTGTATACGTAAACACGTACACAATGAATGCATGAGCAGATTACAGTGGCACGTGTACATGCAAAACCATACGTGCGTATAGACACATTCCCTTATCTATACATCCTGCATGGACAAATCCTCCCCGGATGGCCGTCACCCTAACCCCACACCTCTTGGTCGTTTCTCCCCAGCCCCAGGGCACTTGCCGGAAGAACTCCCGGACAGCCGAAAACGCCACCTTCCACCCCCACAGGCCCAAGAGGCCCTCAAGCTGGCCCATGAGGCTCCCAAGGCGCCCTGAGATACTTCCAAAGTGGCCCAAGAGCGCTCCAAGAGGGCCCACGACGGCTTCTAGACGGCAACAGAGGCCCTCAAGACGGCCCACAGATTCTCCCAGTCCCGAAGAGGCATCAATCGTCAAATTCCCGTTGGGGAACGTACATTTTTAGCGCAGTCGCTGCTTCGGTCCTCGCAGCGTCCAAGACGACCCAAGAGGTCCCCAAGATTGCCCCAAGAGGCCCCCAAGAAGGCCCTAAGACGGCCCAAGAGGGCTCCACGACGGCCCAAGAGAGCCCCAAGATGGTCCCGAGAGTGTCCCAAAAGTGTCCCAAGGAAGTCCCAGGAGGGCCATGGCGGCCCTTTAGACGGCCCAAGAAGGACCCAAGAGGGCCCAAAGACTGTCCAGGCCCCCAAAGGCGGCCCAGAAGAGCCCCCAAATGACCCCCAAGAAGGCCCAAGAGGCCCCCAGAGACTCCGAAAATGTGCCGAAACGTCCCCTAGGAGGCTTCCCAATAGGCCCCAGAAGCGTATGGGAGGTCTCGCGCATGCGTCCTGGACGGCGTTCCCAGAAAGGCTTCCAGAGGCCCCCCAATTCACGATCCATGCAGAGCGTCCAGAGGCACGACGAGAACACGCCGCGAGGCCCCAACGGGCACCCAAGACGCCCCCCCCGAACTCACGATCCATGTCAGGGGTGTGCCGCAATGGCGGCACGACGGCCACGGCGGCACGGCCACGACCCCCCACGCGTCCCCGCTTTATTGGGCGGCCGCTGTTGTATCCCCCGAGACAGCTCATGTCTACTCGCTTCGACCAGCTGTAGGCTAGTCGGCGCCGTTAAAGCCAAGGCCTCCTAAAGCCCCCTCAAGCCTGAGACCCTCCCTGAAGGCGTCCGCGCTGACGGCGAACCTGCTGTGCACGCCACGGCAGACCAACCCACGAACCTCATAAAAGATAGCAAACGCGGCGATAGCGTCCAGCCGCTGGCCAAACGTCAGGCCTCTCTGAAGGCTTTCGTTGCTGGGCGCCCGTGACGTGTGACAGACAACCTCGTCATCATTTCTCCAGACGATGACCTTTACCGCTCTGGTGGCCATCAGCGTCGCCCTCTCATAGCTTGCGCAAAGGCCGCGAGCATTGGTCTGAATGCGAAGGACGCCTCGAGCACGTGCTCCAGGAGTGCTGGCGCGCGAACCTTTTTGGGAGGTGGCGGGAGCAGAACCGCATCGAGTCGTCCCTTTTCCAGTTCGAGCAGTGCGACGAGCGGCGTTGCAGGGCCGCGAGGCGTCTGGCAGAGGGCAGCACGCACGCGGCCAGCGTGATGTCTTGGGCATTCGTCTCGCCGGCGCACCTGCAGGCGGCGAAGGGCAGAGAGGAGGGAGGAAGTGGAGGAGCACTGCCCCCGCTGTGAGAAGAGCGAGGCGCCCGACTTCGAGCACGTGGTCTGGCGCTGCGAAGCGGAGACCAGGCCCTGGGGTCGACCACAGGATGCGCTGCAGCGGCGCCTCCTCTGGCCGACTGGCTTGAAACGCAGGAGGGAGGTGGATGCCAGCCTGCTTTGGCGGGCCGTCGCCATCAGACAGGCGATCCTGGAGGAGCGCCACGGAAGGAGGCAGCCCGAGGGTGCCGGCACCACGCCCCCGGGAGGGCGAGGGCAGAAAGTGGAGGGGAGGAGCCAGAGGTAGGGCAGGAAAGGGCTGAGGGATAGGAGGAAGAAGAGGCAGAGGCAGGAAAAAAGAGAAAATTATAAGGGAGGAGGAGAACTAAACAATAAAGGGAGTACATGCTCCATCTGTGCACTGTCATGAAGTTGCTGTGTACACCATTCAAGCATGCACGCCCTCCCTTCCCAAACGGCCGTCACCTCCATCTGTGGGAATGGTCTATCAGAACCGCGACCTTGACACACCTCGCGGTCATCGGACCAGTTCCTTGCTGCCGACCCCGCTTCGGTGGCGACCGCCACCTCGCCGACGGCCCCTCGAGATTTTCGGTGTCTGGGGGCCGGCTCTGGTCCCAGGAAAGCTGATCCTGGGAGCTGAAAAACAAGTCTATGGAGGGACGTCGAAGTAACTGGGGCCAGAGACCTGACATGCGCGAATCGTCGAGGGTTTGTACAGTTTTCTCGTATGTGTTAACCTCAGTTTGTTTGACTGGACAACCGTTTCTGCAGCAACATGTGTAAGCGAATCCGACTTGACCTCGACCCCCCTCGCGGTCCTCCTAACGGTGTATACCTGGAACCCCCGGCGATCCTCACCAAGAACCGTTTCACGGCTATCGCCTCGCCCCCTCATGTTAACCTCCATGACCCCCCTCCCGTTTCCGCATTGCCGACGGCACCTTGTTGGTCATGATGCCAGCCCCATTCCACGGCCATTCCTTGAACTCGCGTGAAGGTCATGACTGGAGCCTTTCTCGCAGCAGGACCCCTCTATCCACCCCGCAGTCACCTCGTCGGCGTGCTCCCGGTCGTCGGCTTCGCGACCACTGCCCAGGCCTCGCTTCCACGACCTGCACTCTACTCGCGGCCATGACGTCCACCCAATCGACGTCGTGGCCGCCGCCCCAGGTTGGGTAATGGCATGCCGTGGTATCGGGGCTTCGCCCCCGTGGCAATTTGGCCCTCCCCCCCATGGTATGAGCTTCCATATTGGGGCTTTCTAGCCTTGGTCTGCATTCCCCTCGTGGTCGTGACCTCTCCGCATCGATGAGGCCTTCGGCAGCCCCCCGGCAGTATCTGGGCGCAAGACCAGGATGAGGCGTAGCAAAGCGAACTCTCAAGTCTCGTGCGGGTATATGTGTATTACACACATATACAGGTAGATCTGTGTATATATATGTATACAGTTGTATACATATATATATATATATAGATATCACGATACCACTGGTTTACCAATGCGTCCCTTATTGGTCGTCTCCGTCCGTCCGTCTCTTTCTCTCTTCTTTTCTCTCTTCTTCTCTCCTTCTCTGTCCCTCCCTTTGTTTTTTCTCCATCTGACTGTACTATACAACCCTTCACGTTTTCATCGAATTCCGTTCCGACGCAGATTGAGCCGCGGCCAGGCAATTTGAGTCCCGAGCGCCCCGGGAGGGACCAGGATGGCCCAAACATGCCCAAAGAGGGCCCCAAGAAAGCCCCGAAGAGATCCCCAAGATGACCAAGATGGGTAAATGACTGCCCAGTATGACCGCACGATCGGGCAACAAGTTCCTTTGACGGCCCCCTGGGGTCCGAAGAGCACCACCAAGAGTCTTCATGCATTTCGGCGCAGTTGCGCTCTCGGTCCCATTGCCTCTAAGGCGGCCTAATATGCCCCAAAACTTATCGCAACATGGCCCGCAAGGCGATCAGAGGGTCTCAACAGGCGCACCAAAGGGGCCCCAGGCAGCTCCAAGGAGGCTCCCGGTAGCCTAAAAAGGCCCCAAGCCGCCCCACGAGACCCCCCGGAGGGACTCCAAGCAGCGGGCGCGAGCCCCAACACGACCCAATCGCGCTTCCAGACTGCCCCACGACGCTTCCAAGGCGGCACAGACGGGTCTGAGACGGCCCAAAGAAGGCTGCAAGACGACCTAGCAGGCCCTCCTGATGGCTTAATGATGTCCCCAAGAGACCCGCAAGACAGAACCACCCGCAACACTGATTTTGTGCACGGCGTCGGATACATGATCCATCGGAGGTTGCGGGGTGAGTCCGACGTGAAACGGAGACCCCCCCCTACCGGGAAATCGATTTGTGGGCGGGCGAGAGGAAGTCCTCCTGTGCCTGGGCCGCGGCCGGACCAAATGTAACTCCTCTGGCGGCCGCTGCCGCGCGGTGGCCGGTGTCCCGCCGGTGTCCCGCTCGTGTCCCGAAATCCTCCTGTGGCTGAGCCGCGGCCAGACCAACTGTTTCTCCTCTGGCGGCCGGTGCCGCGCGGTATCCCGCCGGTGTCCCGTCGGTGTCCCGCTGTGTCCCGTGGTGTCCCGTGGTGTCCCGTTGAGTGAGATCGATCGTGAGATCGATAGTGAGATCGATACTGAGATCGATGTGGTGCCCCGCTGTGTCCCGTGGTGTCCCGTTGAGTGAGATCGATAATCGATAGTGAGATCGACAGGTGTCCCGTGGTGTCCCGTGGTGTCCCGTTGAGTGAGATCGATAGTAAGATCGATACTGAGATCGATGTGGTGCCCCGAGGTGTCCCGTGGTGTCCCGTGGTGTCCCGCTGAGTGAGATCGATATTGAGATCGATAGTGAGATCGGCAGGTGTCCCGAGGTGTCCCGTGGTGTCTCATTGAGTGAGATCGATAGTGAGATCGATCGTGAGATCGATAGTGAGATCGATGTGGTGTCCCGAGGTGTCCCGTGGTGTCCTATGGTGTCCCGCTGTCTGAGATCGATCGTGAGATCTTTAGTGAGACCGATCGTGAGATAGAGAGGTGTCCAGCGGTGTCCCGTGGTGTCCCGTGGTGTCCCGTTGGGTGAGATCGATAGTGAGATCGACAAGTGTCCTGTGGTGTCCCGTGGTGTCCCGTTGAGTGAGATCGATAGTGAGATCGATTGAGTCAGATGTTGGTTCCCCCCCTATCTCCCCCCCCCCACAACCTCCTTATCACCCGCAGGGGTGTGGTCGTATAGGTATAGCAATACATGTACGTAGGCATACAATATGCATATCTATTTTTGTGTGTGTGTGCGTGTGTGTGTGTGTGTGTTTATGTGTGTATGTGTGTGTATGTGCTAACGGTTGCTGCTTCAGGAGTTCATATTCGTTTTACCATTAGCCAGCCGTGAATAGTATTTACACCCTGCGCGCAAGCGTTATCAGATTGTTCTCGCTCTGTGCAGCCGGGTGGGAAAGGCATTGTGTGCCGTAGTTCCCGAATTGGCGTGCCGCAGGCGCTGAGCGTCGGAGACACCGTCCTCTGGCAGGACTACACGGACAAGCCACTCGACAGCGATGCCGACAATAATTTGTTCCTTGTCGGTGCCCGCTCCTGTCGACACCGCCTCCAGCAATCCTCCGTTTCACTGCTCGCTCGGCATCCTGTCATCCGATGTCCCATCTTTTTCTATTCCACCTGCGCGCTTCACTTCTAGGCACCATCGCCCGCACGTGTCCGAAGCCTGTTGCGCGCGCCGCCCGACGCCCTGAGAGACATGAGCGCGACGGTGGGCATCCGCCTACAGTCGCGCATATGATCAAGAAACCTCCTTCGGCTGGCCCAGCGTTTCTTCACCAACTTGCCAGAAGACTAGCCGAGTTTCTTGCGCACGTTCACCCCTCCAGCTTCAACAGAAACAGTGGGCGCAGGTGTGTCTTAAGAAATTGTTGGGAAGCTAGCCTGAATTCCTGACATGACGTTTTTTCTTGATTATCTTTTCTGGCTGTTCTCTCGATATAAGTTACCCTATCCCCATCCCCACTGGGCCGTGCTATCTCAGCCCCACCGTCCCACCCCCCCCCAGGTGGGGACGGGCCCAAGGAAGCCAGAGAGGAACAGCCTATATCCCCATCTGGGGGAGTACATCGGCCAGTGGTGCCCAGGCCACGCCAGTGGGGATACGGATCGGCTCGACAATGCTCATACTCCGATTTTGCCAACAAGCGTGGGGGGGATCGCGTGGGGTTGTAGAATGAGCCTGTCGAGTGCCAGGCGTGGTGGGCTTGGATCGCGTCAGGGGGCAAGCTCGGTACGCGTGACGAGAAAGGGGAGGGGGTCTGGAACGGGCCGTCGGACGGAGTGGCGTGGGGAGGGTGCTTCTCGAACAGTATGGTGTACAGTGGGGACGCGCATCAAGAAACCAGATTCTTCTCGTCAGGCTGCCCTGGGTTTCTTCACTCCGCGCGCTGCGCGGTGACTTCCCTCTGCCGCTGAAGAAGCTGTTGCGTTCAGGGTGCTCTGGGATCCCCCCGTGTGCATCTCGCCCGCGGGTTCTCGGGGCTGGGTTCCTTGCGAGAGTTTCTTGCGACCGCGTCTGTACTGTACTTTGTTCGTCTTGAGCTGGCGGAGGTGGCGCTGCAGGATGTTTTTTTTTGGGGGGGGGGCATCTGGATATGCTTGTGCGGTGGTCGTGGCCGCCCCTGCGGTGGCTGTGGCAACCCGTCTCGGGCCCGGCCGATATCACTCAGGCTCGGAGGTGTGGGCCGCAGTACTGGTGTGCATAGGACGAGAACTATGAAGACGACGAGGGAGTGTTGCAGTACGAGTCTGATGAGTGGGAGGCGGGCAAATGCGATGAGAAAGAGGGGAATGATACGGCGTCACGATACTCATATGCTCGTCTGCTGCATTTCGTATCAGGGGCCCAGGCGTAGAGAGAAGGTGGGCGAGAGTACCCAAGCCCATGCTGCAACACCCAGATCAGCTTGGGACTCTGGCCCGAAGGTCTCAGCAGAGCTGGGAGAGTCCAGAGGTCGAACGGCAACGCACAGTGAGGTTGCGGCGGAAGCGGATCCACATCGCTACGCGATCAGGCGGAGTCCCCATCCTCTCTCCATCCTCGCCCACGTCCTCCCCCTCGTCCCCGATACTCGGTGGCCATTGCGGCTCACGCCGCGATGCCATAGGGGTGCAAGTTGGCTCGGGAGCAGTCCTCAGGCTGTGAGAGGCCCGATGGGCCCATTTCCCACCACCACTACCATGTGCAGGACGGGGGAGAAGGGAGGATGAGCAGGTCCTCCTCCTCCTCCTCCTCCTCCTCCTCATCCTCATCCTCCTCCTCCTTCTCCTCTTCCCCCTTCCTCTCCTATCTATGGCAGTGGTGTTGGAAACTTGGCCCATCAAGGCCCTGGTGCCCCCCGAGGCGCCTCGCCTCCGCCCTTGGCCCTGGCTCAACACCAGTGCTGCACGCGCAGGCCCTTGGGGCGCCGTTGCGGCTCACGCCGTGCACGTGCCGCGGCCACGACCTCACACGTTTTGGAAGCGCGGGCACCTTGCCTACGCTAGTACGTATATCGTTGACACCAAGTTCTGAGGATCACTCTTCCTCCCCTCCCCCCTCCTCGCCCCTCGTCCTCCTCTTCTTCCTCCACCTTCTCTCTGGCGGGGAACATATCAGCTTATACATTGTCATTGTTATTTTTCCAGGCTGCTTTCGATCGCGCCGCTGCGAGCCGGGCGACTGCCTTCTGCCAGCGGCAGTGCGTGCAGCAGCCGCGCACTGCAACCGATGTGCCGTCCAAGGCACGGTTCTGACTTGACTTGATTTGGGCACCTTGCCGAGGCTGCCACGCGTCCAACCCAGACATGTTCGCGTCGTAGAAAAAAACTAGCGACGGAAGGGTTTGGGCCATTTTCGGCGTCCAGAGGCCTGCGCAGGGCCCCGGGACCGTCAAAGAACGATTCAGGATGGACGACGGGCCCCGGGAGAAAGGGTCGAGACTTCCAGGGACCGCGTATGGAAAAAGTCAGAGCGTCGCATGTCTGGGAATGTGTGAGGCCGTGGAGTGAAAAGCACAGAGGAGCCCGGCCAAGGCTGGGCCGGGCTCCTCTGTGAGCTTCTCTCCACGACGCTCCTGGCAGGCCTGGGCGCAGCAGGGGGCCGAAGAGGGGCTCAGCGACCCCGCTCGAGGTCCCTTGTGGCAGGACGTCGGTGGATAGGCTGAAGCTCTCGACGATACACGATATATCGATCGATGGCAAGACGCCGACTGTTTGGTGCGCGTCGGCACCTCGGCCCTGCCCTTCGGCAGCGCAGCCGCTCGCGCGGTCCCCCAGAGGGGGGTCGCACGACCAGCTGGCATCGAAGCGCGAAGTCGGATCGGATCGGATCGGAACGAGCGCCGACTCGGGTGGGATCGGCTCGGGATCGAAGTCGACTCGAATCGGCTGCGGCGGGGGTACAGTCAAAAGGCTGCAATCATGATTCATTTGGGCACAGGGGGGGCTTTTTGGTTTTCGTCGGGCCGTTCCGTCGCCTGGGTAGGGGGACCCTATTCGTGGCCGAGGCTCGCCGTGGCCAAAGAAGCCCCTTTCGTTCTGTATCTGGCGCTCCTTAAATGGTAGCATAAGGTCGGGCATGTCCTCCTACAGGCTGGTTTTGGAAGAGAAATTGAAAACTAGCGGAACATATTCAAACATAGTAGGGAAAACACGTGCCCATATTATTGTTAGACAATTTCTGGATGTTTTTCCTGTAGAGGGACATGCCCGACGTAATGGTAGCACGTTGGCTGTACACACCTGCGCCGCGCAGGGGCAAGACCCAGACCTGCGATGTTCTGGTTTTTGCAGCGCGGGGTCCCCAGAAGTCCGGACCCTTTCCCCTTATGGGCCGCGATAAATGAGGGGGGACGATCACGGTGGGAGGGTGGGGCAGTGAGGGGGCTGCCAAACAGGGGCCCCTTTGGGGCCCTTGCGGGAGCCCTTTCGGGCCCAAGATGGGGCCTGCAGGGCCCGATAAGGACACCTTTCTCGAAAACTGGAACATATGCATTACCATTGGAGGGCTGTTTTTCAATTCCAGGACTTTTTGAGGGTCGGGGACGACGTCGGAGTGGTGTGGTGTATGCTTGTTTCCGCTTCCCGAGGAAGCAACGAAACATGTATACGCCGGGATCCCGTATACACCAGGATCCGCTTTCGTGTGCAAGGGTCAGTGCAGGGCCGGAAAAAGCCTCGGCGTGTAGAGTTTGCTGTGCTTGCTTCCCTACTGACTCCCTCCCCTTATCGCCGACGTAGAACTCAACGGCGGCACTTGGACTCGGGGTGTCAGCGATACGACTCTCTACCAGGCCGGCGCGGCGGCGCAATGCCAACATGCCAACGTGCTTCACGACATCCCGCCCGCTGAGCCGCCGCCCCAGGTCGCGGGTCATCTTTGCCACGCGCTTGTTTGGTGGTAGCGATCAGAAAAAACCCAAGCGTCATCTCCTCCTCTCTATCGTCGTTCCTCTCCTCCCCGTCGTTTCCTGTTTCTGTTCTCCTTGGAGGGCGGGCCTAGTTCACGCGCGTCAGCGTGCGTTCGACGCCTCGCCCGCGTCGCCCGCCCCTTTGCCGCGCGCCGCGAGGTATCCGTAGCATCAAGGCGAAGGTGAAGCGCTGACCCGTTGGCAGCGTTGCGTCTGAACTCCCACTCGTCCGCGCGCCTTCAGCTTCGGCTTGTCTGGCCGTCGGGCGACCCTCGCCATCGCGGCCGGAAGCGGCTTGAGAAGCTGGTCGTGGTGGTGTTCAGGCAGGGATTTTGGGATTGATTCTTAAGCTTTCGGCGGGCTCTTGCCATGAGTTGAAGCGCTCTGTGAGGCTCGCGCACGCGGACAGGAAGGTTGGAGCTTCACCCATGGGGCATAGGCGCATCCCGCGTCAGGGCGCGAGCGTTGATCGCCCTATTGCGGGGGACCCCGTGTTTTGTTGCAGCAGTGCGCGCGCCGCGTATTGACGAGGCGATCGTTCTCCCATACCCCTCCGTGGCGTCCCTTTTTTCCGCCATTGCTCAAGCAGTGGCGAAGCGTCCTGGCCCGCCTTTAGGCCTACCGAACAATGTTCTGAGAACTTTTTTTGTGGATTCCACGAAATGTTCATAGAACATTTCTGGCTGCGACTGTCTTGTTTTAGCACGTCGGGCTTACGTTCTGAGAACATTGTTGTTGTTCCTGGCACATTTTTGGGTTCTACGAACAGTTCGTGGTAGGACTATAGGAATGCCGGGACGGTCGGTCCCTGGTCAACCATTACATCCTCCACCGTCGACTGGTTCCTCCCCTGCCTCCCCCCTTTCTGCCTCCGTCCTCCGTGGGCTCCCGCTGACGACAAGGGTGGCACACATCTTCCGACAGTCTCGTGCGCCGCCGTCGTGGTGGTGGGCTTGGACAGCGTCGGTGGAGGAGGAGGAGTCGGTGGAGGAGGAGGAAGTAGGAGGAGGAGGAAGTAGGAGGACGAGGAGGAGGACGAGGAGGAAGAGGAGGAGGAGGAGGAGGAGGGAGAGGGAGAGGGAGAGGAGGAGGAGGAGGAGGACGAGGAGGAGGAGGAGGAGGAGGAGGAGGGAGGAGGAGGATGATGAGGAGGAGAGGTCCAGTGGACAAGTGAACGCTGGCCTCTCGCGTAGCTCACAGACCCGAAGAGTATCAGCAGCTCTGCCGAGATGCTAAAACGCGCGCTTCCGCAGCGCATCATCGTTGCAGTATTTGCGGTCGCAGTCATCCATCGGCGCTTCCCACCAACCTCCTTCGACTTCTCAATAGACGCACGAGCTTCTTAGGCACTCGCGTGCGACGATGCTCTGATCTGGGCTTTCTGCATTGGGCATCCTCTATCACTCTATCTCTGAACCTCCTAGTCCCTCAGCATCTCTCGCTCTCACTCTCTCTCACAGCCTGTTGTCTTTCTCGCATTCCGTCTCTTCACGGCTTTCGCCCTCCCACGCTGCCCGTGCTTCCGCGGCCCCATTCCCCGCTCCCCCGTCTCCATCGCGCTTCCTTCCAGCGGTGGTGCCCCACCCGCGGTCCGCCTCCCGTTCCCCTTCCCGCTCCCCACCTCTCACGTGTCGCCCCCCCCCCCCCCCGATGTGTCCGCTTCCACTCCCGCCCCCTGCTTCCGCTCCGTCCCCCCTCTCCTCCCGTGGCCCTCACGCCTGCAGTGCCAGAGGCAACCCCAGCCTCTTACTTGCTCGCCCGCTTCCGACACTGAAGCGTTCGCTACCCCCCCCCCGCCCACCGCATGTTGGGGGGGGATAGCGACGAGCGGAGAGGAGAGGAGACGGGGGGGGGGAGCGAGGGAGCGGGGGAGAGAATTTCCAGGATTTCCGCCATCACATAGTGATAACAAGGCTTGAAAGCTCAGTTCTTAGGGAACAGGCCGCGAGCTATCCTGTCTAGATACTCGCGCCTGGCCTTGGAGATTGGAAGCTTGCACGGTTCCCCCAGGCCCCTGGATTGGGCTTGGCCAAAGTGACCACACGTGTTGCAAAACCAAAGTTCAAGGTCTTTATGATAGGTCAAGGCGTGTGAAGGATGAGTCCAACCACCAGCTGAGTGTAAACGCCGCCCCCGAGGAACCCTACACAAATCACTATTCAACTGGTGGAGTTGGAAGCATTCACTTTTTAGCCAGTCGGGCAACGCCGCCTTTGTCGCAGAGCCCCTACATACGCTGCACGCCCTCCCGTTCTCGGTCAGGGTATGCGCGGACGCGAGGCGTGCAAGAACAATAGGAGGAGGAGGAGGAGGAGGAGGAGGAGGAGGAGGAGGAGGAGGAGGAGGAGGAGGAGGAGGAGGGAGGGGAGGAGGAACCCTTCGGTCGCCCCGCTCTCTCTGGTGGCCAGAGATCTGGGACGCTCGAATTGAACCAAGGCTGACGCGCAGCAGCCTCCTCCGAACCAAACGGGCGTGATGCTCGACGGTGTGAATGTTGACACGATCCTCAGGCGAGACCCCCGCGAGCGAGGCGGCCTCACCAGCTATGTCATCCACACACGAATTCCCAAGCACCAACCAAGAGGGAAGCCCTCGAACTAGCACTTCAGCACCTGACAGATGAGACGGGATCTGCACTATAGCTATGCACGCAGGCGGGCGACCCGGAGAAATCAAATGCCGCCCAATCTCCCGCCAGGTGTCTGACTGGGGCCCTTGGGGTCTGCGGAAAAGTTCGGCGTACCAGCCGCGAGCGACTTCGCCACAGTCTGTAACGTACAACAGAACGCCAAAGCTAAAACGCAGGGCCCATTCGAAAGCCCTAAACTCACCCCTGGGGACGCTCTGGGCGGCTCCAGTGAGGGGTCCCATGAGGAAGGGCCCCAGAGCAAGGGGAACAAACACGGTGACCGTAGCAATGCCGATGCTTACTCGACGCAAACGGGGGTCGAGCGTGTCGCGACCCCCAGAAGCATCCCCAAAACTAACCAGGGGCTCATCAAAGGTCCCTGTCCCAAGACAGCCCTCGCAGAGCCCATCATTCCCTAGACCGCCACCCGAGATCACCTCGACAGACGGCGGGGGCTGAATGGAGGTCCAAGCCGAGGGGATGAGGCCCCTCATCCAAGACACGGATAAGCTTCAGATTCCGCTACAGCACGTGGGAGGAGATCATTGGACTCTTCAAACGCCCGCGACCCTACATTTTTTGAACATGTCCAGCAGCGGTGCAGGGCCGTGTCACGCTCCAGCCCGCACCGATCGCACAAGTCATCAGCTCGCAGCCCTGCTTCTTGACTGCGAACCTTAGGCCAGACGCCACCCGTGGCCACCGTGACGAGCAGCTCCGACAGCTGTCTGCCTTTCCGAGCGTGTAGAAGATCGGCCATCATGGCCCTCAGCGAAATCATGTCGGTGCCCGCCTCCAGGCCAGCACCACATAACAAAGTAGAGGCCTCCTGCCACTGCTTCCGCTCGAAAGTCCGCTGCAACTCGTCCAGAAGAGGGGTGGCCTGGTCCAGCGCCTCGAAGCCACTGCTGTCGAACTGCCACGCGTTGACTTCGTCGGAGCCGTCATTCGGAACGTCCCAATCTGTCGGAGTGTTGGGCGACCACCCAGCTTCAAGAAGATACAATATTACCGTGGTGATGGGGCCCCGCACGTGTCTCACCCGCTGTCCCTGAGGAAGAGCGCGAAGATGAGACACAGCCTTGGGCCACGCCAACTCGATAGAGCGCCGCAGACGGGTCTCCGACAGCCAGACTGCGAGCCACTGAGAGATGCATTGCCTGGGCAGTTGGTGACCTGGGTCGCTCCCAGGCAACCTGAGCGACAGCAGTGTTGTCAAGCATCTGCCGCGCTTTGGTGAGCCTGCTGCCGCGCCGAGCCGCCGTCGGGTGGCCAGCATCACCGAGCCGAACTGCCCGTACACGTGGTGTCCGTAGACGGCTGCCGCTTGCGGGCCAGCTCGCTGGAGCTTTGCAGACGCATGCCAGCGGCGAGGGAGGCAGGGGGGGGGCTGAGGAGAGGAGGGCGGGTGTTGAACTCCCTGTCGCCCCCCCCCCTCGCCTCGCGCCTCCTTTGACCCCCCCCCAGCGCTCCCCCCCCGCCGTCTTGGCACGGCCTTCGGGCCGCTGAGAGCGTCCAGCCCTGCCCCGCTGCGTGCTCACCCCCCCCACCCTTCGGACCGCGCTCCCTCCCGGGAGGAGGAGGAGGAGGAGGAGGAGGAGGAGAGCGCGGAGGACGTGGAGGACGAGGAGGACGAGGAGGACGAGGAGGACGAGGAGGACGCGGAGGAGGAGGAGGAGGAGGCGGAGGATGAGGAGGAGGAGGAGGACGAAGAGGAGGAGGAAACGGATGATGATGGTGATGGTGATGATGATGATGACGATGGTGATGATGCTGATGATGATGATGATGATGATGACGATGATGATGATGATGATGATGATGATGACGATGCTGCTGATGATGATGCTGACGAGGCTGAGGATGAGGATGAGGATGAGGATGAGGGTTGACGACGACGTTGATGATGATGCTGATGATGTTGCTGATGATGATGCTGCTGCCGCTGATGGTGATGGTGGTGGTGATGATGATGCTGATGATGATGCTGATGATGATGCTGATGATGATGCTGATGATGATGCTGATGCTGATGATGATGATGCTGACGATGATGATGCTGATGATGATGCTGATGATGATGCGGATGCTGTTGATGATGATGCTGCTGCTGTTGATGATAATGCTGATGCTGCTGATGATGGTGGTGATGATGATAATGCTGATGCTGCTGATGATGATGCTGATTGATGACATGCTGATG